GGGTCCCGACCTGAAATGTCAACTTTCCTGTTCCTCTGATGCTGCCTGGCCTGCGGTGTTGCTCCAGCTCCATACTGTGTTGCCTCGTTGCTAATTTATACTTGAAGTAGCAGTCTCCATCCTAGACTTTAGTCCAGAGCTACTTTTTACTTTTAGATTAGTTTTGAGTGTCAGCTTTTTGGAGATAATGTCAGTGCTTTTGAAGATATTTGTCAGCTTTTTCAAATTTATGGATTATCATAGAATCCCTACAGTGTGGAAACAGGCTTTTTGGCTTAACAAGTCCACACCGCCCCTCAGAGCTTCCCACCCAGACCCCTCCCTCATAACCCACCTGAAATACACATCCCTGAACAATATGGGCATTTAGCACAGCCAGTCCACCAAACCTGCACATCTTTGGACTGTGAGAGGATTAGTATACATATGAACTGAACAGCTCTGCAGAGAACTATCATTACCACAATGCATTTCTTGATGATTTAATCACACCTAAATCTGAAAAGGACCAACTTTTACTGTTCATTAGCTACCTTAAACCCACACTTAAATTCCAAAATTAGGAAGTGATATGGGGAAATAGTTAAACCATTCAACTAAGACTGACGTTTTTCTTATCTAGATGGATTTATTACACAAAGGAAGTGCAAGCTTAATAGCAACACTGTGTGTGGCTGCAAAGCAGGGTATTTCTGCAAGCAAACAGGTTTTGAAAGCTGCTGGAATTGCCAACATTACACACCATGTCCACCAGGTCAAGGAGTCAAAGCACCAGGTATGACATTAGACTGCACATTTGAAAGGTCAATAAGACAACATGTCATTAAATAAACATCCCGTATGAAATCCGTGGGGTTAACGCAGAATCAGAATCTTCAAGCACAATATAAAGCCATTTGGCCCATAATGCCTTTGGCAACTCTTTAAAGGAGCTGTTCAATTTAGTTCCAGGCCCCAGCCTTTTTCCCATTATCCTGGTTAGTCCTCTGCAAGTACATGTCCTATTGTCTTTTAAGAAATTATGGAATCTGATTTAATCACCCATTCAATTCATTTCTGATCTTAACACTCCTCATTGTGAAGAAATTTTTCTTAGGTCCCTTTAGTCCTTTTGAGAATTATGTTAGATCTATGAATTCTGGTTACCAGTGCACTTACCAGGAGAAATAGTTTCTTCTTAATTGCTGTATCAAAACTTTCATAGTTTTGAACTCTATTATCACTATGGTTATTGAAAATTGGCTGTCACTGTGCTGCAGAAATGTGGGTTGTATATTATTTCCTGTAGATGTGATCTAAATTCTCAGATGTACAGGATTTTGGGGACACCAATTTGCTGCTTTACGTAATCTCCCCACGATATTGTCAACTTGGTTGAATGGCTGATCTATTTCTGAGTAAGAACATTAGCGTAGTGTCCCGACTCTTATAATCTGGGTTAGAATCTTGACTTTTCCCCAGATCAGACAAGAAGTTGTCCACTTACCTTTGGAAAGGTTTCCCAAGCCAGGAGCCTTCCCAGCTACACAGTCCAGTACAGGAACCAACTCAGACAGCAGTGGAGAGGACCAGCGCTGCTCAGAGATCGGCTTTTTATGGAGCAGCTAACGAGTGTAGTTTCACAGCAATCACTGAAACCACAGCCCTCTTTTGCAACAGTGGATGATGTGTTCCAAAGATCCAAAACCACTTTGAGAGAAGATAATTGTGTAAGGAAAGTGAGGGGGTAGAGTACCAGGTGGATGAAGCCAGTAGAGTCCCACATAGGTGGGATTAACAGTTATCAGGTAAGTGAAGGGTAGGGTGCCAAGTATTGAAGAGGAATAGGTATCGGGTGTGTTGGGATAAGGTGGCTATTAGGTGGCAAGGACGTGAAGCGAGGGCTTAGGGAAGTTTGGACATGGTGAGAGTTGGGGGAAGGGGTAGTCGTCGGAATTGGGGCAGGGTGACGTGTTGGATTGTGGAATGGTAGGGATGATGAGTGTCGCATGGGGAAAAGGCAGGAGATAGGCACCAAGTTAAAATGCTTGGAGGACCACTGCAGACACAGTGTGACACACCTGTGAAATTATTGGTCCATGGGATGGTTGGTGGGAGCATTGGAGATTTGTTTGGGTGTCTGTGGGTGTTTGGGAATGTATGTGCTCAGTGATGACTCGGGTTTTATCGTTTACCAGGAGTTTTAATGCAAGTTTTAATTCTTCTAACTTTTCCTGGGCTAACTGTTCAGGTAAGTAAGTTGGAAACATTTGATGTCTCCGATTCTAACTCCGAATTGGAGACCTTTTCAGAGATTTCAGAAGCTGGATAATTGCCTGTTGGAAGGTTCAATATCCCAGGCAATTCCTGTATGGTCAGCTGCATTGGGATTTCTGCATGATCCTAATGCACAACTCTAGTTTACCCTTCAACAGCCGCAATCTCCTATTGGGAGATCTGAGCCATAAGCTAGGCTGACACTCACCACAGGAATACTGTTAATTTGTCTTTTGAATGATCTACTGAGCCAGGGACATTTCTTAAGGTGGATACAAAACAAATTTCATATTATTCGAGATTGGGAGTCAAGGGGATTTTTTTGGCCAACATTCATCCCCTAAGTTACACCTTTTGAAAAAAAGAACTTTCATCACATTGTTGTTTGTGGACCCCGTTGTAAACAAAATCGCTACTAAACTATCCAACAGCATAACAGAACAATACTACAGTAAAAATTACTTGTTTGTGAAACAATTTAGGATATACGAAGGATTTGAAATTTGTTATATTAATGAAAATTCTTTCTGTCAAAATTTTTAAAAACGTAACTATTTATTTGTAGGATTTTATTTGGCTAGAGAATGTTGTGCATCAAACAGTAAGCTATGCTTTAGTACATAAGCTAGCTTCAGTATTTACCTGGTTAACACAGTTTCTGGGTTGTGACTCAGGAAAAAGATGTGGAGACATAACTAGGTTGTCTGCTTCCATTGTATTGGCATCAAATGTCATTTCAATTCCATGCAATGAGAGGGAAGTACCCACCACCTTTTTCCACATCCAGGTGCCCATCATTAAGGATGTTCAAAAGAAGTCAGTTTTAGGGCTGTGCCAGCCTTGTTTAAAGGACGAATCAATACAAGTGTTTTTTTGAATCTGCAGAAATGTTGGTATTATTTCCAGGCAGAGTTAGCCATTGAAATTAATTTGAACACTCAACAATTTCCCTAATTTCCTCAAAAAAGATAGGTTGCAAATCAAATAGTACAAACTTCATCTGTCATATTCTCAAACTACTGATTTCAGCATCCCAAGAATGTGTTAATACATTGCCACACATTGAAATGAAATAGGGCTGTATATACAAATAAGGTGAGCCGCTATTTCAAATGTAGCATAAGGTTATATTCTCCTGAACTGGCCGTTCACTTCAACATGCAGAAATAGAAAATATCAGTCATCAACTGATTGATGATTAGTGTAAGTTTGATGTGTCAAAGACCAGGATTGCAATGTCTTTCTGTGACTGGCAGAAGGAAGAAAAATAAATTGCTGCGATCCAGAAAATGGAGTAAAATTTGGATTTCCCTATTTCCCACTAAAACTTTTCCGTAACCTCTGGATAATTTTACTAAATGCCAGTGAATGTCTTTGAGCAGGACTTTTAGCTGATTGAGACATGTGCAGAGGTAAGCAGGTGCAAATATTTGCATCAGTGGCCAGAGTGCTAGTTTGCCAGCTCCTTTCCATCCTCGGGTCATTTTTCCAGGGTGGGGGAGATTAAGGGTAATGGGACAACCCATTCAAAATAAGAAGTAGCCAAATAAAAGCAGTTAAAGTCCATAAGGCCAATGATCAGAGGCTCTCTGGAGTTTTACATTCAGCCTGTGAGTTCCTTCAGGCATCCTGGCTCCTGGAAGAAGCTCCCAGCTAGTATCAATCTCCAACCTTAACTCTGTGGCCCTCTAAATTTATCACTTTAAAGTATATATATCTCATTTGAAACCTCCTCTGGAAATACCTCCACCATTCTCCCAGGCAGTGCATTCCAAATCCTAACAACTCTACGAGTAAAGAAGTTTCTCCTTATCCCACTCCTAGCTCTCTTGGTTACAGTGTTGAAATTGTGACCCTAGTTAGTGATGTACCAACTAGAGGAAACAGAATATCCTTCTTTACTGTGTCAAAGTTGTTCATAATTTTGAATATCTCAATAACGTCACCTCTTAATCTTCTCTGCTACAAGGAGAATAAGCCCAATCTCTCTAACCTTTCCTTGTATCTAAAATCTTGCATTCCTGGTATCATTCTAGTAAAATTCTGGGGAAAACCACTTTCAACTCATCTCCAATCTGTGAAATATCCATCTATACCTACTCTCTATTTCCTATCTTTTAGCCAACTTCCAATCCATGCTGCCAAGGGCTCATTGATCCCAAATACTTCTAATTTGCTAATGAACCTGCCATGTTCATTGGCAGGCACTGTATCAAATGTTTCAGAAAGTCCACAAATACAACATCCACAGCGCTACCCTCATCCACTGACTGCATCACCTCATCAAAGAGCTCAATTAAATTTGTCAGACATGACCTGCCCTTGACAAGGCCATGATGACTGTCTATCCATAGAATCCGTACAGTGTGGAAGCAGGCCATTTGAGTCTGCACTGGCCCTCCGAAGAGTATCCCACCCAAACCCACCCCACTATCTGTGGGTGGAAACTAGTGTATCTGGCAGAAACAGGGAGAATATACAAACTCCACACAGTTGGCCGAAGCTGGAATTGAACCTGGGTCCCTGGTGCTGTGAGGTAGCAGTGCTAATCACTGAGCCACATGCCGTTCGTCTAGCCTCAAATTATTTTTCTGTGAGTGTATGTTTACCTTATCCTGTATTAGTGCCTCCATAAATGTTCCCTCTGACAGGTCTGTAGTTTTCTGAGTTATCCTTTGCTCCTTTCTTAAACACCATCACAGTTGCAACCCACCAGTCCCCCGGGACTAATCCTCTGTTAAGAGACGCCTGGAAAATTTCTGTCAACGGTTCTGCAATTTACTCCTTTACCTCCCTCAGCAATCTAGGATGCATCCTATCCAGGCGTGGTGGCTTCGCTACCCAGAGTGCTCAGCACTCCCATTTTCAACTGGGCCATTGTCACCATCTTCTAATTTGGTAAAGATAGAAGCAAAATATTAATTTAGTACCTCCGCCATATCTTTTGCTTCAGTGAGCAGCTTACCTTGCTTCTTCCTTAAGGGGCTGCTCTCTATCCTGCACTAATCTTTTACTATCAACATATTTGAAAAACATTTTACTATTTATTTTAGTGCAGCCTGCCATCTTTTCTTCATGCTTCCTCTTAGCCTTCCTTATTCCAGCCTAAGCCTCTTTCCTGCATTTGAGATACTCTTCTATCTTTTTTATTGCTGTTGTTATTCTGGTATGCATCATATGTCTCCTTTTTCTTCCTTATTTTCTCATCAATATTCTTAATCATCAAGGGTACTCTATTTTTGGATACTCCAGATTTATTTAGAACATAGAATCATGGAATCCCTGCAGTGTGGAAACAAGCCCTTCGGCCCAACAAGTCCACACCGAACCTCAAAGCATCCCACCCAGACCCACCCCACTATAACCCACCTAATCTACATATCCCTGAATACTACAGGCAATTTAGCATGGCCAATCCACCTAGCATGCACATCTTTGTACTGTGGGAGGAAACCGGAGCACCGAGGGGAAACCCACGCAGACACAGGGAGAATGTGTAAACTCCACACAGACAGTCGC